ACGTCGTACCTTGTATTTTACTCTTTTCTTAAAATGATAAAATTTACTTATCATTGATTTTTTTTAAAAAATAAAAATAAATAAATAAACAAGTTTTCCTAATTATATTTTCCTAAATTTAGTTTAAGGACTATCTTCAGATAGGCTCTGAAGGATGCTTAATACCTTCCCCTCGAGTAACCAAAACCCTTACTCAGAATCTCACTGGTTTCACAAGTCTAAACAGAGTTTACATTTACATATAAAAAATGGTTTTCCTTATATTTTCCTTAAAATTTAGGTGGCGATTCTAAAACAAAACAAAACAAAACAATTTTTTCTCAAAATCAGAGTGTCAATCATGTTATGTTGTGAACTGTTTTGGCTAGTTCAAAATAGGGTGCGACATTACCTCTTGTAGCCTAGCTGTTAGAACCTTTGCTATGATTTGTTAAGGACTGTGCAACATGCAATTTGGCCTTTACTTTTTCACAAAAGTAGGATTGACATTCTTAGGAACTAGAGTAATTGTACAATTAATAGCTTTATGCATGATATTTATGGTAAATAAATTTCTAACAGCCTGTAGGACATCTGTTTTAATCATAGACCATGTTTTTTTTTTTTTGTAGAAGTATGCATTGAACCCATCCACCCCATGGCCTTGTCATCTTCAATGAACATCAGACTAGAGTATATTTTCTCATCAGTTACTGGCTTACACAAATGTATTCCTTGTTGGTAACTTAGAGCAGGGCCTCCTCTCATAGTGACTCTATTGACTACAGGTAGGGCATAAGCTGTTGAACTCATTAAGGACTTATAAAAAACTAGTATCTCATTCTTAATATCTTTTTGTCGTAGTGAGTTCAAGGATTTGTTTCTTATGAACTCTCTCCCTTGAGACTGCTGAAAAGAATTGATTATTACTATCCCAAGTTGTATCCATTTAACTCTAGATTTTTGGTCTGAGAGCATTTTCCTCAATATTGGACCACTTCTCTAAGTCTTGTAAGGACTTCTTCTCTAGCAATAACAAATTGTCTGAGCAGTGTCTTGTTAGTTGATCTTGTATTTGGATAAGGCCCATTCTTGCTTTAGGGATTTTCATTTCTATCCCCTTGAACTCCTCTTGATTCAAAACTTTTAAAGGTGATTTCAGTGTCTTCAATTTCCTCCATATATTTTCTATTGGATCAGTTGCTAATTGTGTAGCCTAAATATCTTTTACAATAATTCTAAATTTGGGATAATCAACCCAAATATAAAAGAATCTAAAAGGAGTTTTTATAGTCCAGTGAGCTATTTTCATTGTGAAGAGCATGGGGCATGATCTGATAATTGAGATAGCTTATAGATAGTCTGCACATGTCCCCACTTCATGATGCAATCATGGTTGTCAAAAACTCTGTCAATCCTACTGTTTGTCTATGTATACTAATAATTACCTTTTCATGCATTTGCAGCAACTCTGATTTTGGTAAATAGATTGGTCCACTATGGAGCAGGTGGATCTTAAATGGATTCAACATTATCTTCAGATCTATGGCTCTGTAGTACTGTTTCATTAGTTACCGTAGTGGTAACTGTATGCATTTATACTGGTGTGTTACATGTGAGATCTGGTTGTGCTAACACAGAACTGATCAAATCTAGTCTCTTTGAACCTCTACTTTGCCCAAGTGAGGTATCCATAGATCCTGAATCCATAGTCCTAGACGTATGATCTGCCGTGACTTGTTCAGATGAGGTTTGAGTGTTCCTCTATGTTTGTGCACCTGCTGAGCTTCCAAATGAAACAAGTGGTATTTTCTTTAGCCTTCCCCATCATCTTATACGCCCTTTCACCATCGTTGTAGCTCCATCGATGTATGTAGACTAACGTGTGCCAAGAGCCGAGAGCCGAGAGAGATTCTCTTACATATACTCTTTCCTCTAGAAGTGAAAAATTATTTTAATTTAATGTTTTAATTATTTTCTTGAAAAAAAAATAAAATCCATATGGGGTATATTTGATCTTCCTCACACATATTTTTTTTTGATTTTTTTGTTTTAAAGACTAATTTAAATTTATTATTTTGATGGTCAAATTTATTTTTATTTCACTAATTTTTTTGCATAATTTATCATAGATGCCCTTATTTTTTTTTACAAATACAAAAACTAAATTACAATATAGCCGAAAAAAAATAGTTTTACACTAAAGAATAAAAGAAAAAAAAGAAGAAGAAACTCAAATAATAACTAAAAGAATATATATTAGTCAGATAAAAATATATATGAACCAATTTCGTAACGAGTGCACTCAGGGGTCGTTTGGTAGAGTGTATAAGAATAATGATAAATAGAGTGTATTAGTAATGCTTGCATTAGCAATGCATGTATTAGTTATGCTTGCATTAGTTATACATAGATTATTTTAATGCATTGTTTGGTTTAATGCATTAAAAATAGTATGTATGGCATTAAAAAATTTATTTACAAAGATACCCTTGACTTTTATGGTGGAAAAAAATGTAAAAAAGGTTTTGAGGGGTAAATGGGTCTTTTATCATATTAATGCATGCATTAAAACCATTGCATTACTAATACCTAGAAATCCATGGTATTAGCAATGCACTCCTTAATACACAATAGAGTATAGGTTGAAAAAGAGTACCAAACAAGGTACCAATAATACACATACATTATTTTTCATAATACACTCTACCAAACGACTAGTCATATTTCTTACTCTCCAAGACAGTTGCTAATACTAATATACTTGTAGTCTCCCTTTTTCTTATTTTATTTCTTCCTTTATTCTCACTAGGGCTTTTCTCTTTCATTTTTCAATTTCTCTCCTCCTTCGATCTCTCAGCTTACCCTAAGATGGACAAATCGTCGCTCGATGTGGAGCAGCCACACTCCATGGGAACCACCATCATCGGCGTCACTTACAACGGCGGCGTTGTTCTCGGCGCCGACTCCCGTACCAGCACTGGTAATTCCTTTTTTATTTTCTTCATAAGGGTTTGATTTATATTTTCAATTTTTTGTAATGTTACTGTTGAAAAATTGATTAACTGAAAATAAAGTATCTGCTTGATTGATTTGTTTTTTCAATGTCATAATGTTGTTGTGAATACTGAAAATAGAGAGCCTTTGATTTACTTTTCAATAGTATAGTCTTGATGAGAAGAGTTTACTTAACAATAAAGTCTTTTTTTTTGTATATGTTTTTATTATGAAAATTTGTGAAAGTAAAGCCTTTTTATATAGATTACCTGATAAAGATGAATTTTATTTGTGAAAATTGTATTTTCTTCTGAATTTGTTAAAAAAATGTAGTAGTAATTTTAGTTTGTGTAATCTAAGAACTGCATTTTTTTGGTGTTTTTTGCTTTTTGGAAATTTAGGAATGTATGTGGCAAATAGGGCTTCAGATAAGATCACTCAGCTCACTGACAATGTGTATGTTTGTCGCTCTGGATCGGTATGCTACTTTTGCTCTCTTTCTCTTTCTTTGGTAGCATATATATCGTATTTCTTCAAAAAGAGGAACTGTGGAACTGCTATCTGTGCTGTGGCATTATTTGTCCTTTTTTCCCTTTGTTTCCATAAGGGATTTTTGTTATTTGGTTCAAGTATTGGCATGTTGAGTACTGTAGATAAAAGCAATTCAAGAAATTGAATTAAGGATTTATGGGTTTAGTATCTCCCTTCTTTTTCTTCGTTTTGATGTTTTTGGAAGGGGTTATAATGTGGCTGAAATTTGTCAGTAATGAATCCAAAACTCTATTTAATTAAATAGCATTTAAGTAGCACGTTATCTGCTCTGTAATGATTGACAAATAGAACATAGAATAACCAAAATTCTAACTATGCGAGGAGATGTTAGAACTGAAATAGAAATGACATGGCTAAAAAATTCTTCGAGTTAAAGCTTGGTAATTTTCAATATTGAACTTTTTTTGTATTAGCAATGGCGAAACACTTTTCTTGCAATACCAATCCTTAAAAATCTTTCGGGGGCTTGCTCTTCCTCAAAAGAATTAAATCTCTTATGGGCTTGGTTAAATTTACAGGTCAATTGTGTATTGTCATTGTGTGTCCACTTAACGTGGTATGTTGCAAGGATAGAGTGTTCTGAATTTTAACAAATAGCAAATGGAAATATTCATTTCTCTCTCTCTCTGTATCTTATCTATTTATGAGTCACTGAACATCTCTTTATTTTTTCTATTAAGGTATAGTAATTTACCTAATGAAGAGAGGGAAAAATGTCCAGTATACAAGCAGTTACCAAAAAGTAGAGAACCTGGAAATAATTGAACATCCTTTTGCTTGCTTATCTTTCTATGATTTTTGGAAATCATGCTCATATTATGAAAGCTAAGTCAGTATTAAAAGCTAGAGTATTTCAGACGTTCAATCAACCAATCAATTGGGCTTTATCCAAAACTACTTGGAGTTTGCTATATGAATATTGATCCTCTGTTTCCATTCTGGTTTGTCTTACTAGAGAAAAATATACTGAACTTTACAAGACAACGGGACCTACTAACATGGTTTCATTAGCAGCTAGTAGCAGAGGTTATAACCTTTTCCGTTGTCTTGCATATTATATGACTCTAACTCTCGTTGATGCACTTCCCATCAACTCCTTTTTTTTTACTTTCTCTAACTTTTAATTTAGAGAAAAGTTTCTTCCTCTTGTGCTTGGTTGCACTTCTTTAAATCTGTCATATTTTTGCAAGTCTTTCCTCCTAGCATATTTTTCATGCATGTATCATTCGTTTAGCCTTTGCCAACTTGATCATTGGCCAGACGGCGCGACATATTTGAGTCATAACCGCCCGCCAGCAGTGAATACTCTTAGATCTTCTACCAGGATCGTAGATTCTCTGATACCAATTTGAATGAAAATATTTTATTTACAACTCAAAAGTTCTATATGTTTATGTATATTTCGGTGTATTGTTCTGTGTATTCCTACATTTTCTGTATATTTCTATGTATTGAAAATAACTAGTAACATCCCTATTTATAAAAGTAAAAACCAAATTAAACTAAGACTACGAACTACTCTAACTAACAAATCCTAATGAAACATAAATAAGTCAATATCATAAATAACAAATCCTAATCAACTTAAGATTTCTACTCCAACTTTGAATTATTATTTTCAACATTGTTTGTAATACAACAAATACAGCATGTATTCATCCTCTCTCCTCCCCCTCTCTGGATCTCGCTCACCTTTCTCCTCTTAATATGTAGTTATTAGTTAAATACAATAGTTTTTGATACAATTATATTCATTTGATACAAATCAGATGTATCAGTTGTAATCGTGATATAACTCAATACAATGAATACAAGTATTCAACTTCTCTCGCCTCTTCCCCCCCCTCCCCCGCCTCTCCCCGAAATCTCACTCGCCTCTCTCCTCCTTCTTCTAGTCTCGCTCGCCTCTTTCCTCCCTCAAACATGTAACTATAATTCGTAATTAAGCAAATCATAACTATAAATCTCTAATTAAGCTCATATACTATAGTCATTTTTGAAAGTTCCCACTTAATCATATTTTAGGCCCCTTAACTTTTCCTAACAAAAAACTAATTTTTAGGGGGACGTAGCTAGGGTTGTTCATGTTTATGGTTATAAAATCAAATCGAACCGCAATCCGAACCAAACCAATTAAAAAAAATTGATATTTGATTTGGTTAGGTTTTGTTTTAAATTTTGAAAAATCGATACTATTTGGTTTGGTTTTGGTTTTACTGAAAATTAACTGCAAAAATAACCAAATCGAACCGAGAAGTTATATACATAAATTTTAGATTATTTGAAAATAAAATATAAGTATTTTGCTAAATTTTAATTAACTTAACTCTTTAATTTTACTATTTACTGAAGCCCAACACTTAAATTTTAGTTCAACTATTAAAACCTTAAGTCTAAATCCCTATTTATTCTTACTTCAAAGATCACACTTTCTCTGTTCTTTATTAAATTTTCTAACACATCATTGAATAATTTAAAGCTCAAGCCAAAGAAGCTGATAATTGATTAGTTTTGACTATGAAATATTGGTTGTTTTTTTAGAGGTAATTTCTCAATATTTTAAGGTGTAATTTTATTGAAAACTCTATTAATAAGATGTTGAGATCTCCAGAATATTGAACCAACTTTATGCTATTGACAATGAGTTTTTTTAGTTTCTGAATTGGTACATTGGATGAATCACATTGTTCGTGTAATAGCTTTTTTGTGAATTATTCATGTAGTAGGTGTTTGTGCCTATCGAGATGCGTATGTCCTCAACAAATTTATTACTTTCAAACTGAAAAAACCGAACCAAACCGACGGTAATTTTTTTGATTTGGTTTTTGAAATTTAAAAACCGATTTAAATTGATTTGGTTTTGATTTTAACTAATAACCGATTCAAACCGAACCATGAACACCCCTAGAGGTAGCATGTGCCCAAGTTGGTTAAGAGAATACAAAACTGAGATTAATTATTCAAAAATTATTAATATGTAAAAATAACTTCTCTGAGGGGAATGTTTTTACAACTTATTTTAGCTTTATATAACATGTTCCTCATTTCGTTATATGTTTACACTGTAACAATTTTGACCTTAATAAAGAAAGAGGAATAGTAAAGTCAGTTTGTCTTTATATTTCACAATTAAGTAATAATCATATTTTACTTGTCGGATTACGCTGACTATCTTGTTATTGTAATAAGGTAATAATTTTTTAGTTTAAACAAGAACAAGCTCACTACCAAACTCATATCTCATATAAATCAACACTTCGAAATAGAAGACTAACAAATTAACTAGAATAAATGTAGAACCAAGGCAATTAACATTAGAGGACATTGTGACGGAGTCAAAGAATAATTGGAAGGATCTACCAATAGGGAGGTTGTCAAAATGAGTTCAAATCTATAACTAGAAAATCATGCCGCGCTTCGTGCGATACTAAATTTGTCAAATAATATTTCATAACATGCAAATAATAAAATATTTTAGACTCTAATTCATATATTAATTTCGAGTTTTAATATAATTTATAAATAACATTTACTTTCCTCTAATTTTCATCACTTTTAAAGCGTTACAAAAATTTAAAGAAAAATTGATCTCTTTACGTCCATATGAGTAGCAAATTTGAAGCATAATTTTCCTTTGTATATTTAAAAATAAATATTTAATCTTATTTCCTTTAAATTCATTGAAAATGTAATGTTTAATACTTTCATATATATATATATATACTAGTTTTGATGTACGTGCGTTGCACGTGAATATCAAACCATGTATCACACTATTTTTAAAAATAACGTGAATGTTATTAAAATAAAAAATTTGTCACTCTTAAAATCTCTTAGAGTCACCTCTTAAATATACTTTCTCCTCCCTTCTCTATAGTGCATTACTTTGTTATTATTGTATTGTTGGTGTTCTTACTTTTAATATAATATAATATAATATAAATAAATATGTTATAAAATATGGAAGATATACTAAATTTGATGTTTTTAGTTGGAATATTAGATTAATTTAACATTCATGTTAGGGAGTATCCTAATTTCACTAACCTTTGAGATTGTCAACGTCTATAGATCAATCTTTGAGGTTTTAAGAAAAGAAGAACAAAAAACATTAAAAAAAAAAACGTAGTTTAAAAATGTGAGGAAACCCCTCCATTTATAGTTAAAATGTGTAGTATTAGTATGTGCATATTGTTCCTTATCATAAAAATATAGAAGATATACTAAATAGGATGTTTTAAGAAGAAGAAGAAGAAGAAGAAGAATGATTTTTTTTTTTTTTAAATGTAGTTTAAAAATTTGAGGAATCCCCTCTTTTACTAGCCAACAAAGGGTAGTGTATGAAAAACTACTTATTGTGCCTTATCAAAAAGATGTCACAACACTTTAGAAAACTCACAACCCTTCAGAAAGGTCACAACTCATCGGAAAAGTCATAACTCTTCGGAAATGTCACAACTCTTCCGAAAAGTCGCAACCCTATAGAAAAGTCACAACCCTTCAAAAAGGTCACAACTCATCGGAAAAGTTATAACTCTTCGAAAATGTCATAACCCTTCAATGTGAAAAGGTTTTTGTCTTTAATATAATATAGTATAATGCACATAAATAAATATAATACAATATAAAATATAGAAGATATACTACATTTGGTGTTTTAAGTTAGGTAGTATAGATAGATAAAAAAAAGATAGATATAGATTGGTCTAATTTTAATTTGATATGGAATTTTAAAAAGTAAAGAAGACTTTTAATTTAAGGATCATATGTTGAATATATAAAAATATCTTTTCACTTTGTGGTCTTAAAGATGCGCCCCACCCCAAGAAAATAGAACATTCTATATTAAACTGAATAAAAGTAAAAGTACGCTAAATAAATTGAAAACGAAAGAGTACTTATTAAATGTAGTTTGGACTCTTCAAACAAGTTTTTGATCAAATACTTTTTCTCCAACAGTTTGAGACTCTTTAGATTCTAAACACCAAGTTGTAGTTTGTGCAACAGAAAATCATTTATCTTCTTGTCAAGTAGAAGTTTCTACAAAAGTATATTTTATGGCTATGAAAATGAGTAAATATTAATTATCAAGATACTCTTCTCATTTGAAATTGAGTTATTTCATTCTCCTTGTTGATTCAGTTTTTGTTGATCTATCTAATTTACCCACAAAAAATATTGTAATTTTATGATTGAACAACTCTCACAATCTTCCTTGTTTTAAGAAGAAGAATAGAAAACTTACAAAATTTGTAATTTAAAAGTGTGAGAAACCCACTCTATTTAAAGACATGAAAGGATAGTATGAAAAAGTTCTTATCGTGTCTTTTCACATTGTCACGACCCAAAAATGGACGTGATGACACTCGTCTTATTCCACCAAGACAAGTCATCCTAAAAACTCAACCATTACAATAAAATGCGGAAATTTCATAATCAACTCAAAAATATCGCCAAAATCTGGTTGTCACGTGTACAAGCCTCTAATGTGTTATAACAAAGTTGAAAGAAAATACATGTTTCAAATGACATTGTTTCTAGAATAGAACAAGATCATAATTAAAGAGAAAGAAGGTCAGCTGAAATGACAAGCAACTACCTCACAAACCTCCACAAGAAGCTTCAGACAAGGAGAACAGAAAATATCACAAAGGTCCGGGCTAGTAACCTACAAAAAAAATGTAGTAGCAAGGGGTGAGTACCAAACCACACGGTACTCAGCAAGTAAACCTCTAAACACAAGTTAAGGGGATAGAATACGGGTACTCCTTACACCCTAA